AAGAAGTATAATTGATAATAATAATTACTAACACTACTACAAGAAATATAATCTCGACAATAGAAATTATTAACCCCTCCAAGACTATTATTGTTCATTAAAAAGAAAATGATTAATTTTTAAGATATTATTCTAATAACACCAGAAGTACCTAAACGCGACTTATATAATATTGTTCTACAACAAAATACCAAGATTGGATTTACTTAAACTTTAAGCACAATTTCTATTATAACACATACTCGAGTAAACAAGTTAATTTAAAAATTTCTCCTAGAAACATTTTTATGTCAGAAATAGTAAAAGAAAAAATTGGAAACCACTCGTTTTGACTAGTTTGGTACTTCTAATGTTAAACGACGCACTGTGCGGCCAGGAAAACGGACAAAAAAAGAAAAGAGAGAGAGAGCGATAGAGAGAGAAAATAAATTTCTTCGGCAGAACGCGAGCGTTCTAATGCGGACAGAGTGTTCCAGCGACGCGAACGACCGCGGAGATATTGATGAGAAACTGGGTCTGCGCGATTGTATTGGAAAAACCGGAAATTTCCATCTTCCCTGACGTCGTCGTCGTCGGATCCTCTGGATCGTTTCTCTCTCCCTCTCTCCCTCTCTCTCTCTCTCTCTCTCACTCGCTCTTTCTCTTTCGATCGCTCGGTGTTTGTCAGAGCCGGTCCCTTTATCCGCTCGCTCGATTCCCTTCTGTTTTTTCCCTTTCTTCTCATTCTATTTTTCCTTTTTTTTTGCAACGCTCCAACCCGCCCTTTCACCGTGAAATCTCTGTGATCTTTAAATGGAACCTTTGCTCCGTGGATTTTATATTCGTGACGAGTATCAAAGCGGGCCACTTTGACCGCTGCCAGATGAGTTTTCGTTGACGTGCAGCGATAAAGAAAGATCACCGAACAACAGATAAATTCGAGCCCCGGCCACGTTCCCCTTTGTCCCCCGCGGCCAACGATTCGCCGTTCCTTTATCGTACGTCTGCACGAACCGCGGAAATGGCTAATCTATCGGTCAACGAGGACCCGAGACGAGCAAAGGCCAGACTTTTCGAGAACCGTCCTACACAGACCACGATCTACTTGTGGTCCCAGCGAAATTCAATCGTTCGCTGCGGAAATGTTTTAGCTCCGTTCAAGATGTTCTTTTTTCTACAGGAATTCGTTGTAATCGTATTCTTTGTTCTTTTGAAGCATTTGTACATTTACGATTTTTAAGGAATAAGTGGTACACATAGAAATATTTTTTCTACAATAATTAGCCGAATGAACTCTTTTTAATCGGATATTTTATTTGCATAACAATTATTTATTATCCCGAAGAAATTGTGGAGGTAAATATTTATATTATCATTTTTATTCGAATCGATTGTTCTCCGAATGAATTCCTGTATTAATAAATTCTTATGCGAATGAAGCAAATATTTTTTTATTCAAATGAATTCCTAATCGACTGGATTCTGAATTGAATAAATTTTTTATCAAAAAAATTCTTGATTCAATAAATTCTTAATCGAATAAACAGATAATAGCAAATATGAGAATTGAAAATATTAGAGACTGTAGAAAATATATCACATATTTATAATAGAAAATAGAAAATAGAAAATAGAAACATAAAAGTAACTTGTTAGGTTTTCCATTAGATATCACTGAAGCCATAAAAGTAACTTCGATTCCATAACTCCACTGCCTATTATTCCAAAGACGCCTCACAGTATCTCATCCTCAAACCACAATGGTACGAAAGTTAATTGTTACGTCGATCGCGAAACGAATAGCCTGTAACGATGTCGATTGATGAAATCCTATCGGTATTGTTTTAATATCGCGCAGGAAGATTTTCCCTTGGACCGTACAAGTGGCAACTCGAAGTAGAAAAGGATCTCTGTTGATAAAACAGTTACTGCCGCCTCTCGGTTTGCCATTCGAGCCGCTAAATTAAGCCAAGTGGCGACCGAGGGTCGCCTCTCCACTGCAAAGGGTTAATTGACTGCGGATGTTTGCGCGAGCTCATATTTTTCGTCGAGTATTATGCAACCGGCGAGATTGAGCAGAGAAATATATCTAATTAGCGGCGGTCCTGCGCCGTATTATATTATCATCCTCCTCTCTCTCTCTCTCGCTCTCTCTCTCTTCCCTCTCCCCCGCACCTCATTTATTATGCAGCTCTGTATAAATTAAAGCAGTTTCGCTCGTTACCAAATGCTCTGGCAAATAGAAGAAAAGAATACAAGCGCGTTGGCGAAAAGAGATTGTGGAAATCGCCGAAGTGCTCTTCTGTTTCAAACCTTTGTTTCTCTCTTCGACGTTAAGTAATCATTAGACAGAGGATTTTATTACGTTTCAGGCGAAACTGGCCGAGCGAAGACAGAAGAATTTATTGTACGAAATTCTTCCATAAGCTTCCAAAAATTAATCACATATTCTTTTTTTTTATTCTGCAAGTAGCAGCAATCGCAATTTTAATTCATTTAGTGCCTGTCGAACGTTGCTTCGAAAGGCATTTATATTTTCGTAATTAATAATAAACTGTTAATTCTAGCGGTATTTTTAGATTGAGTAAGCATTGCTTCCTTAAGAAAGCGACCTATGATGGCAGTTTCATTTTTTCCGAAAATGGATTCTACTAGTCTCAGTAACTGGTCCAAAATTTTGCTGTGGACCTACGGGGACCAGTTACGGAAACTAGTCGGATGGATTTCCAGACATATCTAAAGAATCGGGAAAATGAATTCTACTAGTCTCAGTAACTGGTCCAAAATTTTGCTGTAGATCCAGGTGGCCAGTTACGGAGACTAGTGGGATCGATTTTGAATTCTGCTAGTCTCAGTAATTGGTACAAAATTTTGCTGTAGACCTAGGTGGACCAGTTACGGAAACTAGTGGGATCGATTTCTGAAGAGATCCCAAAAATCCAGAAAATGAATTCCACTAGTTTCCGTAACTGGTCCAAAATTTTGCTATCGACCCAAGTGGACCAGTTACTGAGACTAGTAGAATTCATTTTCAGGATTTTTGGCATCTCTCATTTCTATGCCTTCCGATTCCCAAAAATCCGGAAAACGAATCCTACTAGTCTCAGTAACCGGTCCAAAATTTTTCTGTCGACCTAGCGGGACCAGTTACTGAGACTAGTAGAATTCATTTTCAGGATTTTTGGCATCTCTCATTTCTATGCCTTCCGATTCCCAAAAATTCTGAAAACGAGTCCTACTAGTCTCAGTAACCGGTCCAATATTTTGCTGTCGACCTAGCGGGACCAGTTACTGAGACTAGTAGAATTCATTTTCCCGATTTTTCGGATTTGTTCAGAAATCGATCCCACTAGTCTCAATAACTGGTCCACTTAGATCGATAGCAAAATTTTGGACCAGTTACTGTGACTAGTAGAATTCATTTTCCAAAAAAATGAAAAGAAATGGAAGCGCCAATACAGATCCATTGCTGAATCTAAAAATACAGTAATGTCTCCCTAACTGACGCTCAGATTGTGCACAAGTAGAAGATCAGAACATGCTCATTCTAGTGTTACAGTAATGTCTCTCTAATTGACGCTCAGAGATTGTCCACAAAAATGGACAATTTAGGAAGAGGAGATACGATTATTCGAGCCCTGCAGCTCGTTTCTATAGTTCTTGACAATTCGTAACTATAAAAACGTACCGCAAGGATCGAATAATCTTATCTCCTCTTCCTAAATTGTCCATTTTTATGTACAATCTGAGCCCCAATTAGAAACATTACCGTAACACTAGAATCACCATCTTCTACTGTCGTGAACGTTCAACGCAACAGCCAACGTGTTAACACAGTGTTCCAGGAGCATAAGCTCGAACATTATACTCCCGTTTTCTCTCGCAGGATCCTTCGAGATCGCCGGAAGGGCCGCTTACAAGATTCGATCCCGGGGTGCCGAGAAGCGGAATGCAAAAAAATCGTGGACCACTTACCTTCGGATAATGGATCGAGATCGCGGAGGTGTACTGGAACGTGAGGCTTCCTGGGTAGCCGTAAAACGGTATCGTTATGATCGGCGTGAGCGTGTCGTCGAAGTAACCGAAGGCCAGTTTAGTGCCGCTCGGGGAGAACCATAAAGCCTTGTTTGATCCGAACACCTCCTCTGAAATCAAAAAGCGAGCGACGGGTCGTAACGTTCCCCGGTGACAAACATTCCTCGCAGCAACGTTTAATCACGTCGACGACGGACAACGGCGGCTTGCCACGCTTGTGTGCGAGCCACGACACAATGTTATGTGCATCGAAAGTACAGTAAGTTCCCTCTATTTAACGCTCAGCTTGGGGATAAAAATTGACAATTTTGGAAAGAGTGGTAGCATTGTTCGAGCCTTTAGGCTCCTTTCTGTAATTTCCGATCGTTAATGATTATAAAGACGAGCTGCAAAGTTTAAATAATCGTGTCTCCTCTCCCCAAATTGTCCATTTTTGTGGTGAATCTGAGCGTCAGTTAGGGAGACTGTACCTGGCTTGTTGTAAGAATAAACTGAATAAAATCGGACTTTCGAAACCGCGGGGTTAAAGTTCGTCGTGATTAAATCGCGGATGATATTATCTACCCGAGAGAAATTAGCAGAGCCAATAGGAAAGAGCAAGAAATATATTCGAAGAATTGAATCGAAAGATCTAGAAAATCGCTGAGAAAATATTCGGATCTACTTCCGCGTTGTTTCGTTTTGCGTTAGGTTAATTATTCTCGCAATTTATTCGTTTGGAAACAATCTAATTAATTGCTTTTAAAAGAACTGTACATATATTATGCTGTACGTTATCAAATCGAACGATGTTTTATCGTCGGTTTTAGATTGTCAATATAAAATATTGATTTTCATGCCTCGGCTTCCCATTGACGAAATCAAATATTTCTTTTATGCTCTGGCTTTAGATTGTCGAAATAAAATATCGATTTCATGCGTCGGTTTCGGATCGCCAAAATAAAATATTGATTACAATGCATTGCTCCGGATCGCCAAAATAAGCTATTTCCGTTCCGCGTTTCGCGTTATCAAAATCAAATATTTATGTCACGCTTTGGATTATTCGATGCAGCGGATTAACGAAATCAATATTTTATTTGCCGATTTGTGGCTCGTTTTTTAAATAAATTGTACTATATTAATATTATTATTATTATACTATAAAAACTAATATACTGATGTTATAGTGTAATATATACTAATACACTAATATTATAGTAAAATATACTAATATACTAATATTATAGCATAATATATTAATATACTAATATTATAGTATAATATATAAATATACTAATATTATAATATAACATACTATAATATACTAATTATTATAGTATAATATGCTAATATACTAATTATTATAGTATAATATACTAATATACTGATATTATAGTATAATATACTAATATACTGATATTATAGTATAATATACTAATATACTAACATTATATAGTATAATATATTAATGCACTAATATTATAATATGATATACTAATATACTAATATTATAGTATAATATATTAATATACTGATATTATAGTATAATATACTAATATACTAAAATTATAGCATAATATATTAATATACTAATATACTAATTATTATAGTATAATATACTAATATTATAGCATAATACACTAACATTATAGTAAAATATACTAAGATACTAATTATTATACTATAAAAAACGAGTAGCAAGGCTCGAATAATCGTATCTTCTCTCCCCAAATGATCAATTTTTGTGCCGAATCCGAGCGTCAATTATGGAGAATTAACAGCAACGGAAGACGGTTCGCAACTAATCGGGCCGCGGCGAGTTCGGGAAAGTATGCAACGCCCTCGTACCGGATAATTATCCGCGTTCTCTCGCAACTTCGTCCGACGATGTGTACACGGAACGGCCGTTGATAAGTCTCGGGCCGCAGCGCGCGTGGACAGCGAATCCTCGGGAACTTCTGATAAGAACCACACCCGCGTGTCATCTTCAACCGGTTCGGCTCCGCTCGGCCCGGCTCGGTTCCAGCCACCCTCCTCGGCTCGCGCACGGTTGAACAAACTTCCCGAATAATTCATGCGTAATTTTGCTCGCCGTTGCTCAAGATATTCCGGGGGACCATTCAGCCAGCTCGGCTCACGACGCGACGCGACGCCTCGAGATTTCGATCAACCGAGGATGATGATTCGTTGCTCGCGACCCTGCCCCCTCCGACCACCCCGATCACTTCTTTCTCTCTCTTTCTCTCTCTCTCTCTCTCTGTTTCTCTTTGTCGATAATTCCACGATTCTTATCTTTGCGACGGAGAAATCGCTAATCCATTCTCGAGGAACCTCTGAATAATTCTCCGATCATTTATGCCAACACTGCGTTAACGTCGTCGAGAGATTCTTCCGGGAAGATTCGGTCGCGGGAATGTTCGTTTTACGCTTCGGCATTGATAGTTGATTATGGAATCTGATTCGGAAGGGGCGAGGATTAACGGAGACAATTTTATTCGACGTCGACCAGTCGATATCGGAGAGAAGAAAAATTCGAAGTTGGATAAAGAAGTTGTTCGTTATTCGAAGAAAAATTCTATTCGATATCGGAGTTATTCGTTGTTCGAAGAAAAATTCAATTCGATATCGGAGTTATTCGTTGTTCGAAGAAAAATTCAATTCGATATCGGAGTTATTCGTTATTCGAAGAAAAATTCAATTCGATATCGGAGTTATTCGTTGTTCGAAGAAAAATTCAATTCGATATCGGAGTTGTTCGTTGTTCGAAGAAAAATTCAATTCGATATCGGAGTTGTACGTTATTCGAAGAAAAATTCAATTCGATATCGAAGTTATTCGTTATTCGAAGAAAAATGTATTTGCACAGTAATTAATTCGAAGAACAGTCGATTTGAATGATCCATGTTAACATTTACGAGTAACTTGTTTCTTGACTGCTCTAGGTATCTAAAAAATTACGAGAATTATTGACGTTATTGTTCGAATAATTTTACAAACTGTACTCGAATAATTTTGCAATCTCTGTTCGAATGATTTTACAATCTCAATTCAAATAATTTTGCGATCTTGATTCGAATTATTTTACGAACTCTGCTCGAATGATCGTGCAATCGTTATTCGAATAATTTTAGAAGCTCGATCTGAATGACATATTCGAATACAAAAATCAAGCATTATTCGAATAAACGAATAGAGCAATTAACTTGAATAAAAAAATAATTCGGACAAATAGACAGAATAATTTGTTACGATGAAAAGCAACGAATTATTCGAGTAAATAGAACAATTTGTTACGACTAAACAATGAACGAGTACATGGAATAATTTTTCAAGAATAAAAAAATGCAGAACCATTCGAATAGATGGAACAATTTACTCTCCCAAAAAATGCGAAGAAATATTCGGATGAACGGATAGAACAACGTCTTACGAATAAAGAATAATCGTTCCGACGACTGCACAACTTGCGGTAAAACGCCTTTGGAAAGTTCGCCGTAAAATATTCCCGCGGAATTTTTCACCGTGCCGCGGCAGCAATTCTCCCATTACAAGCGCGCCTCCTCGTACACGAAGTTGCCGCATAAATCAAGTTTCCCCTGTAAATGCATTTCCCATCGATCAGGCGAAACAACATACCCACCGCAAGTAACCGACGAACGTCTCCGTTCGAGCGGAGTAATGTTCCGTTTCAAGCCGCAACAAAGCACGCGAAAACGTGAACAAATATCGTTCGTCGATCGGGGGAGAATGGCCGAGGCGGCGCGAACCCCGGCTAATTAAGTCGTTCCGGTGAGCATCCAGTAATTAAAGTACCGCGCGACGAAATTATGTCCGCCAATATAATTCCGTTGTTTGGGAAAGCGAAAAACCTCTGCTGTTTCCCTCTACAAGTTCTCTCTCTCTCTCTCTCTCTCGCGCGCGCGCTCTCTTCGGTTCGCTTCTTCTCTCTCGCGTTCTCTTTTCAGCTAGCCTTCTCTCTCGCGCTCTCTCTTCGGCCAGCCTTCTCTCTCGCGCTCTCTTTTCGGCTCTCCTTCTCCCTCGCGCGCTCTCATTGGCTTGCTCCTTCTCTCTCGCGCTCTCTTTTCGGCTCTCCCTTTCTCTCGCTCTCTCATCGATTCTCTCTCCCTCTCTCTCGCGCTCTCTTTTCGGCTAGCCTTCTCTCTCGCGCTCTATTTGGCTCGCTCCTTCTCTCTCGCGCTCTCTATCCGACTCTCCCTCTCTCTCGCGCTCTCTTCGGCTCTCCCTCTCTTTCTCTTTGACTTCCTCTCTGTCTTCGGCTCTCTTCCTCTCTTTCTCTCTCATCAATTCTCTATCTTTCCCTCTTCGATTCTTTATCTTTCTCTGTTGGGCTTTCTTTCTCTCTCTCTCTCTCTCTCTCTCTCTCTAGAAAAACCCTCGCTAAATTGCCGCGAATCGACGTGCAGGAGCCGCGTTTCCGCTAAGTGCTCCCGGTCGAACTTTAAACACACTATTTACGACACCGAAAGCGCCTTCCAGCATCCTTCTTTCGAAGTAAACAGACCCGGACCTTGGGACACCGTACACCGAAGAAAGGCCACATTTTCTCACGAATAACAAATCGGATTCGAGATACGAAGAATTTACTCGAAGATATTATTCGAGTGAACTTTTATTCGAGGAATTTATACGTTTTATTTGTTGCATAAGCGAAGAGACATTATATTACAATCCACGGCTGGACAAAAGCAGTTTCTCCAATTAAAAACGGGGCGTTCTTTTCATTTTAATTTCGCGAAACGGATATATCGCAGAATTTTTGCGGATTATCTTTCGCCGTGTATAAAATGTTCCCGTTGATTCGAGAGAATTACCTTAGCAGATGCATAATTCAAACCCTTTTTTCCGTGCGAGCCGTCGTCGTACGTCGCGATTAAGCGAGCAAAAAGGGATGCAAGGGGTAGCGCTTCGACGTTGGCCCGTTTGCGAACGATTTTATTCGCGGAACACACACATACACACACACGTGCACACGATATTGTCCGTAAGAACGGTTCGCGATTTTTATTCGAATTACGCGACCGGGAAATTAAACGCCGAGGGAGCACAACGAGAGCTGCCTTACAACTTAATAACGAATCGCGGGGCGAAATAACAAAGTCTACAGAGA